GGGGGAGCACGGTGCCTGAGGCGGTCGCTCACTGTGAGCGCGGAGAATCGACAGAAGATCGAATGTAAATGCACCCGAAGTGTTACATCTTCGCAGTCTTCTCATCTGATGCCAGCCAGTGTAACTGTCTCTTTTTCGTAGAATACTTCGGGTTGGAAGGGACCTTAAAGACCATCCAGTTCCAACCCCCCCGGCCATCAGCAGGGACACCCCCCGCTAGACCAGGTTACTCAAAGCCCCATCCCATCTGGCCTTGAACACTTCCAGGGAGGGGGCATCCACAGCTTCTCTGGGCAACAGAGACGATTTTAGCCCATCCCAGCCCTTAGCAATGCCCATCCTTCCATGTTTGTCTCAGCCACGCTGCTTAGGTGCACCTCTATTAACAATTTGGCCTCTCGCTGTGACCAGGAGGGGTCTGGGCTTCTCCTCTGGCTGCACAGCCTGGCCACTTGCGCCAGCACTGGGTCTCCTCTGCCTGCAGCCGGGGGATTCGGCTTGTCACTCAAAACCGTTAGTCTTGTTCGTGGGCTAGTTGTCTGCTTTGATAGGTTGGATTGGGACCATTCATTCTCTGTGATCAGATAAATGTCCCTCTCAAAATCAAGAGAGAGAAGGAGGTTAGGAGACATGGAGAGCACCTTGCTGGGGGGAGTGCTGCAAAGGAAAGAAAGTGTATGAAGAAGTGGGGTGGCAGCCTTCTGCTGTCAACACATTACTAGTTTGTCTCGCTCTAGCTATACTCTTAAAGATTCTGAAACCACCTAAAAAAATTACTGCTTTGTAGCAATATAGGCCTTTTCTAAGTCTGTCTGTTCCTGAGTTGTCATGGAGACATGCAAAATAAAAGGAGCTGAAAATTCCCAAGGAAAGAGTAGGGGGATCCTTTTCAGATAAGGGTTGACAAGAGATTTGAGAGGTGCTTTGGAAATCGAGGTGGTAGCTTCTTCTGAATGTGAACTGGCATGAAGTCCCTTTGATCTCTGTGTCTGTCTGAGACTGTGCCTTCAGTGTAATTCCAGAATTGGCTTATCAAGAGCCATCCTCAGCAGTGTGCTTTTAGCCGAGTAGGTCTCTATATTGATTTTAACAAAACTGCAACCATCTATTAATACAGCACTGAACACCAAGTGTCAAAGATAAGTGGCTCATTACTAAGCTTATTTCTCTGGATTTTAATTAATTGCAGCTATGCATGAGTCTGGAAGTTTTGCAGCATCACGTTCTAGACGTGAGAAGAAGTCTAGAAGAGGCCAGCAAGAAGCACTGGAACGTCTGAAAAAAGCCAAAGCTGGTGAAAAAATAAAATATGAGGTGAAAATTCCTCATCTTTTCTTTTTAATAGAAAGTGAATGTGAGCTGAGATGCTTAACTCGCCTTTATACGTATCTAAAAGTTGTGGGAAACAAAACTTGCCTGTCAGATCAGCTCTTATTTTTCAATGGTGTATGTATTTCAGAATGTAACTGTAATTGTTTTGCTGCTTTCTGATATAATTTGTTTATTTAGGTTTTCAAAACTAAAACAATTTTAGCAACTACAAATCAAACATGCTTGATATTGCTTGATAAAATTTGTTCCTTTCCCGTGGGATAGTTAAAATTTAATTGTGTAATTGATGTTATGCTAGGGAGCACTTTTTTTTAACTTAAAATTATCTTAAACTTTAAATGAATTTCAGAGCTTTACATGACTGAAATCCATTAATACTGATTTGCTATGTTTCTACAAAACCCCAAAATTTAAGTATTTAACTGGTAGACCTGAAATATGTCAGTGTAACATTGATACTGCCCAATTAATTGAGGTGGATAATTGTGAAGAGGCCTGCAGTGCATAGATCGTTAACATGCAAATTCACTCTGAGGCAGAGAAGAGCATCTTCAGCATTATGCTTGGGCCTGTCAAATCACCTTTTCACTGAGCTCATCTCAGTGTTTGACAGTAGAGCCAGTGGTCAGAAGTCTCCATTGTCAGGATTTTGGGGGTGGTTTTTTTTGTAATGTGAAATGAGCAACAAAGCAAGTCAGTTTCAAATGAAATCTCTGCCAGTGCTTCAGTAGATTTTGAGTTTCAGTATACTGTGGTAATTTTAAAAATTGATAACTTGTCTTTTGTGACTGCCAAAAAAGAAACTTAAACTGAATGAATAACTGTGCTTGCTGGTTGTGAACAACGTAACAGCGTAACCATGCATTTCTTAGGAACTCTTGTGGTCTTACTGATGTATTAGTAAGTAATGGTATGGGAACTGTTAATTCTCATTATACCTTACCTGTAGGTTGAGGAGTTTACAAGTGTCTATGATGAAGTAGATGAGGAAGAATACTCCAAGATGGTCAGAGAACGTCAGGATGATGACTGGATTGTTGATGATGGTGAGCTAAAATTCGTTTGGAGAGTTATTTTGTTTATAGTGTTATAACTCAATTAGGCTTCATAATGTTCATGATTTGAGGTAAATTATAGGTAGTACATTCTTACAAATTGTTTTAGGAAAAGGAAAAGCTTTTAAATGGAAATAAATGTTTTGCATTGTTCTCATAGTAATGTATTAGGTTATGTTCTCATAGTAATGTATTAGGTTGTTAATGAAAATATTTTTCTATTAAGAACTGGTTTTATTTCCAGTTATCAGTGATGTAACTTTAAAAAGAAGTACTGTAATTGATAGTTTCTAATTAAACATGTAATCATATATTTAATCTAATAGAAGATACAGCTGAGAGTGCTGTCATTTTGAACACTTTTGCATTTTAAGTTTTGCTCTATATTAAAGGGGATAAAGTGTTTAAATATGTTAAACTTTGGATTATGAATATATTTAGAAATATCAGAAGGCAGATTTTAAAATGTAAATTTTTAACAATTTGTTTTTCTGCAGATGGGGTAGGTTATGTAGAAGATGGAAGGGAAATCTTTGATGAAGAACTGGATGATGATGCTCTTGGTTCCAGTAAGAAAGGTAGGTTGACCGTGACCACTGTAGAAAGTCTTCCAGTTGCTTTTAAAAAGTGTCTAAAATGGGCAACTTCTTGGCATCAGTATGTGGTGAATACAGACAAATGAAGCTCTGTGATTCTATGCCTGTGACTCTGGATTTTGTTTAGCCCCTGTGATGCAGAAGATAGAGGTCCACAAATTGAGGTCAAATCACTGCTAACTACTTCAGCACAACTGGGGTGATTTTGCTTACAGTCTTCTGTGGAATATATATTCACTTCTAGAACAAATGCATCTAGGAATGATCTTGGTTTCCAAAGCCAAAGTCTAAAGGACGCATGTGTCCCTCTTGCCACTGAAGTAATTGCATGCTTCTAAGGGTCTGGGATCAAATGATTTTGCCAAGTTTTATGAAGTTGGTTGCAAACTGAGGAAGTTGAATCTGATGTTGAGAATCCAACCCTAGTGCCAAACTCCTGGACACTCTTATTTTTTTTTTATTTTTTTTTTTTTCTGGACATGCTTCTATGTAAAGTATCTTGGTCCCTTTTCTGGAGTATGAACCTGAGTATGCAAAGAGCATCTCTGACATGACTAGGAAAGATAGGGTGCTGATAGGGTTTTGCTTTTTTTGTGTGTGTGCATGACAGCCATTACAAAGCTGGCAGCAATTGAAAGATGTTTAGGCATCATCTCAGCCAGCAGTGTCGAGGTGGAAGAAGTAGACTACCTCAGCTATCTATTCCTGTTAATAACTGGACCCTTAAATATTTAACTTTTCTAATGTAGAATTCACAATTTTATGTTTTCCTGTAGGAAAAGGTGGCAGAACATCTATGGGTGATAAAAAGAACATGAAAAAATCTGTAGTGTCAAAGCCAAACACAATTAAGTCTATGTTTATAGCCAGCGCTGGGAAGAAAAACACAGATGTAAGTTTTTTACATTTTTGTATTTCGAGATTTCTAACTTGTTTGCAGTGTTTTAGTGGGAGTGGAATAAAGTGCTTAAGGGCTTGTTTCAGTTTCTTGTGTCTAGCAAGACATAAACTCCTGTTACAATCTCTTGTATATGGAGCATTCCTGAAAATGTTGTGTGTTTTGCGGAAACTCTTTAGTCATTTGCTGTTGGTCTCCTGATGGGGTTTGCACATGCACTTAAGAACTGTTTGTCTCATCTGTTATCTTACAGAAAACTGTGGACCTGTCGAAGGATGATTTACTAGGGGATATTCTTCAAGATCTTAATGCTGAAGTGAGTATATTAGAAAAATCTGCTTGAAACACCTTAATACATTCATTTTTCTTGCTGTGGAACATATCAAGAAAACAAAGTTCTTCCTAAAGCAAGACCATCTAAGATTGATTTATTCCATAGCACATCTCCACGTATGCATGCAGTCTGTCTGTCATCTCCACCATGCAGGAGTTGCATGATTGTATTGAATCACAGAATCACACAATCACAGAATGTTGGGGATTGGAAGGGACCTCGAAAGATCATCTAGTCCAATCCCCCTGCAGGAGCAGGAACCTAAATGAGATCACATAGAAAGGCGTCCAGGCGGGTTTTGAATGTCTCCAGAGAAGGAGACTCCACACCCTCCCTGGGCAGCCTGTCCCAGTGCTCTGTTACCCTCACTGTAAAGAAGTTTCTTCTCAAGTTTAAGTAGAACCTCTTGGGTTCCAGCTTACACCCATTGCCCCTTGTCCTGTCATTGGGCATCACTGAGAAGAGCCTGGCTCCATCCTCCTGACATTCGCCCTTAACATAGTTGTAAACATTAATGAGGTCTCCCCTTAGTCTCCTCTTCTCCAAGATAAAGAGGCCCAGCTCCCTCAGCCTTTCCTCATAAGGGAGATGCTCCACTCCCTTAATCATCTTGGTGGCAAGATAAACCAAAACTACTCTGTCCTGATGAGGGATGGTTTATATCAATGTGATGTAGAGCCCGTGCTAATGCAGCCTTCTAGGTTTTAATCAGCTTGGAGTGAAACGGGACTTGCCTGCATCTGAACTGTGTGTCCCCTATATGTGTATCACTACGCTCCAGCCAGTATGCTGTAGGATATTTCCATCTGACGTGTTTGGGTTCATGAGAGGAGCTGAGGGGAGGCTGTTTCGGCAGATGATGTAGCCTGAACTTCTGTCTGCTTCCTCCTGCTTTCCACAATTTGCTACAGAGAGTCAGAGTAACACTTCCTCTGAGTCAGGAGTGCAGGATAGCTGCTGTAGCAGAGTTGGACTGCCTCAAATGAGGGTATTCAGTGTCATTAATGACTTTTCAAAGAGTTAATGCCCCTTAGCAGGATTTCTTAAAACTGAAAGGATTGCTTGAATGTAAACCGTGAAACTGCTGTAGTGGTGAGATGCTGAACTGAAATATACTGTAGCACAATAAGCATAATGTGGTTTTTACAGAGCAGTAAGAGGAGCATAGATGTTCCAATGTAAAGTTGTTCTCTTGGTTTTGTACACCTACTATTTTGCTCTTCCCTATGACATCTGATTGAGAGTTTTAATATCTTAGGCTATCAAAAACCCTCAAGTCTTTAAGGAAGTGCATTTGAATGCTGTCAAATTTTGTGCAGCATTGATTAGGGGAAATAATGCTAATAATTACACTATGGCTTCTCTTTACTTAAGTAGTAGTTAGCTCTTGGTTTTTTGGCTTTGTTTGTTCTCTAGAATTTCTTTTTCTATTAGCTGTTGATAAGGATGAGTATAAAATATCTGTACATGTAAATAAACTAAAATGGGTTTTCCTCTAGTGTGACTGCTGAAAAAGCACTTCTGCCTGTCTCAAGACACATGTGCTCACTACTACTGTTTCAGCAGACATGGAGAACATCCCACCAGTTATTCTGATGCTTGTGCATTAAAGGCACAGCTAGCTATTGAAATGCCCACTGTTTGAAAACTGTTTCACTTATTGAAGATGGTTTTTCTCTTGGACTGCTTACAAAAAAAATCTAGTGTCTGTCTTCATGGGCTGATTGCTCAGATAACTTTCTGTGTGGCTGAGTTGTATATCAGGAGCTGTGTCTTCTTGGCAGATGAGAAATGCCAGTGGCCTTCTTTCTCTTGGATGGAAAATGTTACTAACAAAGGCAAGAGAAAACACTAAACATGACCTCTTCATTTTGTCACTTTCTTTTTTCTTTCAATATTCAGACTGTTCCGATAAGTCCACCACCAATTATAATGCTGAAAAGGAAGAGATCTACTGGAGTACCACTGAATCCTTTCTCTGTTCAGTCCCAAACTCCTAAGGTAAAGGAAAAAAAATCAAAAAAGTTCTCATTAATAAGTATTAAGCTGTATTTTGGTTGATTTGAATACTGTTTTCTTTTATTTTTGCTTCCAGAAATTACCTTTCTCGTTAGCTTCCTTAGCAACGTTACTGTGTAACTTCACACATTTTTCATCGTTCTCTTCCCGGTTAATACATAAATAGAGTACAACTCTTTCTGTATCTCTAGTATAGTATATAGCTGTACTATAAATAGTATACAACTCTTTCTGTATCTCTAGTATAGTAGTAGTATATAGCTGTCACATTTGAGAGGTGGAGTTGTTTTTGTAATGTTAGGTACATCACATGAAGATGAACTTCTGCTTTGTCTCTTTTTTCCTAAGAGTAGAAGAGACCCTTGTGGTAAGGAAAGGGTGGCAGGAAGAGAAATAAGGAGAAGAAAGAGTATTTGTGGGTGTGCAAAAGGATAAGAAACTCACCTTCTGCAGAAATGGAAAGCAAATGGAAAATTGAAGCTATGGATGGAAGTTAACCCCAGTGGACGATTTTGGAGTGAAAGGAGGGACAGGGTGCTGAGGATGAAAGGCTAGCATTTTGTTAAGAGTTCTGGTAAATGAGAAGGACTTTATAGTTGGAAATACAATGAGATATTTGATAAGAGTCTGTAGAGGGCAAATGGAAAAGAGTAGATAAATCTGATTTGTGAAACCTTGTGTAATAGTGACATCAGCTCTTATGTTTAAAATACTCACCAGTGGCTCTCATTTCAACAGTTGCATTGGAGTCTAGAAGTAATTGAAAAATAAAAAAGGGGGAGATACAGTAAGAGAAGATCTTTTTCTTTATGATGCAAAACAGTGGTCACTTTTGTAGGAAACGAAACTTGATTTGAGAATGAAACTTGATTCCCAGACGGGCTGTTCAGGTGGTAGCTTCTGTGGTCCTAGGAGGAGGAATTGGGAGAATTTAGACATGAAACAGATGAGGAGGATGAAGATTGCAGCCTTAGAATATAAATGGGCATAAAAAGTAACATGGCAATGGTGCTTTCTACTTCAGGAGATGAGCAGAAATATAAACATGAATAAATTAATTTTTCTGGGCTAGCAAAAACTGTTGGTGAAGGAAAATTAAGTAACGTTTGCTTTCTGTTTAAGGTGAGTGAAGGACTGAGTTTGGTATTGGCCACAGTAGAGGTAGCTGTGCTGAGGTTAAAACCCTGGAAATGATTGTGTGCAACTCTAAATTCTATGTTTGTAAATAACAGCTTTCCCCAAAGAGAAAGGTTTTGGACCTTGCTGCAGGTTAAGGGCCAGTAGATGCAGAGACCTGTTGTTGGTCATGGTGGAGGCCACTTTATAGACATCTTCCATACGAAGAGGTTGTGTAGCTGCTGCCATAGTAGTATCCTGTCTGAAAAACAAACTGTGTGCTTATTGCCTCAGAGTTCAGCCTTGCAGAGCATGCTGAAATACAGTTTCTTTGTTTTCCTCGCTCTCCCTGCCATGTCTGTAGCATGAGGAAATCCAGTGGAGATGCACTCTGTTCTCTACACCTATAGTGTCCTGTAGACATCTTTAACTCATTACTGATTTAATTTTTAAGTCATTACTAATTTACAGGTGGAAACTGCCATATTGGCCTTTCGCAGTTGTTCCAGGCTCTGTCCCTGCTTGACATATATTGTTACATACTCAGCTGACACAGAGGTGTTAGTTTAGGAATGGAGTAGTACTATGTGGGAAAAATAGTGTAAGTAACCACAAACTTAATTAAATGTCAACCATGGCCTGTTGTAAACTGCTTTTAAAAATTATAGTAGAAACACAGCACAGCAGAAATGATACCATGGAATTTAAAGTTTACTTTTGAGCAGTTTTAGCTATCATAGTGCAAAATATGTGGAGTTTTTCCTCTAGCCCTGGTTACTAGTTCTTCAAATAGCGAGTGATGGATTTTTTTTTTTTCTTTTTTGCTTTTAAGAGGATTTTTTTAACTGATGGCTGAAATGTCTTTCAGGTAATCACCCCTATATCAAAGAAAGCTCCTGCTCATCTCAGGAAGGAAGCTCTTCCTCCAGCTTCATTTCGTCCTAAACATCCCAATTACACAGCAAAATCTGTCATAGTCTCTGAAAATGAGGATACCAAGAATGTGCAAAAAGCTATGGAAAATGGGGAAATAGTGAAGACAACAGAAGAGAAAGCTGTTGAAGGTATCAAAAAGAAATCAAAACCCAGTTCTGGAGGCTCTTTAAATATGACATATTAGTGTTAAAACACTTCTTATTTTGTACTAGTTACATGCTTACATAGCTTAAATGTGATATTTTGTTTGTATATTAATACTGTATATTATGTTCATGCATATAGTATACTGTCTGTGCATACTGCTGTAGAATACAGGGCATCATTTTAATGACTCTTTTGTGCAGCACTTACAGATGATGATCAGGGAATGATGGATTTTGATGACGAGGACTTTGATGAACCTATGGAAGCAGAGCATGTGGAGACTATACCTGAGACAGCTAAAAGCTTGAAGGGAGACAAGGAAATTGAAAAGAAAGAGACATCTGTCCTGTAAGAATCTTTTTTTTTTTTTTTTTTCCTTCTTCCACCAAAAACCTTAGATTTATATACATGTTTGTCTTTGCCAGTGGGATAATTGTGGTACAGGAGGAATGATGGTAATGCTATGCGATGTTTTTCTTGTAGTGATGTCAAAAATGGTAGTGTTGAAGATGCTGATAGCTACTTAATTGAAAAATACTTGATGTTTTGGGAGTTTAGCACATGACAACATAAGACATATTTCGGTACACTGAGGTAACTCAGTGGGTGTTGAACAACGAATTTTGATGCCAGTAAGCAAAAATGAGGAATTACTAACAATGCTTATTCTAAACAACTATGAAGGTATTTCCTAACATTAGTTGTAGTTAAAAGTATTGTTGCTAAAAGTAACTTTACATGGTGAACAGCTGTGTCTTTGGAAGTAGGAAGAAAGGGGGGGGGGAGTGGTGTTACTCATTTAAAAAAATTGTTTGGAAGAATCTTAAATCTTTAAACTGTAAAATATTTGAATGATCAAAAGGACTTCATGTCAAAAAGACTTTCATTTAATGACTGAAAAGGTAGTTTTGTTGGCATAATCTGTTGTTCTCACTGAGCAACTTGTGCAGATGAATGGATATATTTTTTATGTAAAGGCTTGAATGAGTAAGGCTGAAATACCAGGTGAATGACTTTTAAAGCATGTGTGTTGTGTGCTGAGAACCATACTTGTATGCAGGTTTCTCTTTGTCACCCCATCCTTCTTTTCAGAAGAATTCTGAGGAAACCCAGCTGTTGGGAATGTTGCTCCATAGTGGAAAGAGCAAAAAAAGGCCTCGAATATAGGGCTGAAAAAAAGTGAAACAGTGGTGGTTGTAACAAAGCAGAATTTTACTTCTTGTTTCTTTCTTCTTCTGCAAAATGTGCAGGAGTTGTTCTCTCCCAGATATCTCATGTTGGGACAGAACTGATGAGGATGAAGCTGATCTAGTAGTGGCAGAAGTTCAACTGGACCCCAATCTCCTTCCTCTTGTGAATGGGGAAGATGATGATCAAGTCTTAAGATTTTATTGGCTGGATGCTTATGAAGATCAATACAATCAGCCAGGTAACTGCTCAGTTAAAGATGGAAAATGCCATTCTGAATTTATTTTTTTTTATGTAACTGTGATTTTCAGACTTGCCTAAATTATGTCTAGATACCCTGTCTCTCTGTGCTCGGTAACTTGTACATTGATCTCCTCTTTTTCTACACTCCTGTCCTCAGTGCAGGGCACTGTGAGTGGGCAAAGTGAGAATGTTTTGGGTCTCTGGGTCTAGTGAAGCAGGAGGGAGGTACAGAGGGAGCTACTTAGCACTTCTCAATGTTGGTGACCTGTTGGCCTTCTTAAAACCTTGTGTGCTCCAGGAATAAGCTGATACTGTTAATTCATTACTCAGTGGTGCAACCATTGAGCATGCTTTCTTCTTGTTTCTGGAAATGGAACTTAGTTCTAGTGGATTATTAGAAAGCCTGTGCAATAGCAGTTTTACAATTCTATACGAAGGCAAGGTATGCCTATCAAGGAAGGAAGGTGGCCTGAAAAATATAAGCTCTGTCTAGATCCCTGTATTCAAACTGTCTAAATCTTGAAGATTGTCTCTGTATTAACGTCCCTAAGATACTTTGTGCTGTTGAAGTTCCTGGTTCAAAACTGTGGCATTTTGATCTCAGCCCTGACAAAAGAAGTTGTGTTCACATCTGTTCTAAGCACCTCCCATCCATCTTCTCATTTCATCAGCAGCTTTAGGAACTTGGGTTTCTAATTTGTCCTTGTAGGTTTACCAGAAGGTTCTTCTGTACTTTATTGAAGGTTTTTTGGGTTGATGCTGTAAACATTGAGTCAAATATATTTCTCTCTTACACCTTTTGTTGTGAGTTGGGATGCTAGACTTAAATATGAGACTGTGCTGGGCTGAACAGCTTGGTGATGGGAGTGGTAATAATCATAGATATCTTGGTGAAATCAATGGCTTTAATATAAAATTACTACTTTTAAAAAACCCACTATTGTTCTTTTTCTTTTTTTTTTTTGTCATCTAAGTCAGGGATTGCTGAATGGAACATAATTATGAAAGGATTTCTGTTCCTTGCATGCAAGGAGTGTTCTTTTCTCATTATGACTTTTTCAGGATTGAATAATAAAGACTGCACCTGTTTTCAATTAGTAGTGTAGAAGGGAAAATTTTGATACTGCTTTTTGTTTAACATGTTCATGATCTTTGTTTATGCCTCATTTGCTGTGATGTCAAATGCACTGCCTGAAGAGTAAATACTATAGCATAATCATAAGACCTTTCAAATTTAATGATTTTTTTGAGACTTACTTTTCATAACTCCCTTTACTATCTTAGATGGAGAACTTGAGAATTGTAATCCTCTTAACATTTTAAAGAATTAATGAATTAAAATTGCCCTTCCTTTCTTCTCTGTGAGACGTTTTCCCTGTCTCTTGACTTTGCTTGCCTTTTGGTTCATTGGTGACATCATCTTTCTTTTCACAGACTGTGTTTTATAAGCTTTACTCCTATTTTTTCTACTTTTCTTCTTTCCATAATCAGGTTTACAGGGGATAGGTCCAGATACCTCTTCTCTTATTTCTTGGTTTTACATATGAAACGTCTCTGAAAACTCTTTGGCGTTAGCCCTGCTTTCACTGTGTGTGTGTGTGTCTGTGTATGTGTGTATAGGGGGATGATGTATGTGTGGGTGTTGGACTAGGTGACCTCCAAAGGTTCTTTCCATTCCTAAAGTACTCTGATTCTCTGAAATCTGGGGATATTAAGGCCACTTATTTGCCCATGCTGGAGTTGTTTGAAGTTTGACTTTCCAATCCAGGCAGCCTTTTACCATCTTTGAATGAATGTATCCCTCTTTCTACCTCATCTGCTTATATGTACGCCTCTGACAGGTTCACTTCTCCATTCTCTTAATAGTGCCAGATATTCAAGCAACCAACTCCTGGTTTGTGGTCTCTCCCATGGCTTCATCTTTCTGTATGATACAAACCTATTTGAGTTTTTTATCCCTTTAAAAAAGAAAAAAAATATTACTGGGGAGAACAACTTCGTCTTCCCTGTCACTTAGATCTGTAATTTGAGCTCTTTCTAGATCCTTTTAGTCAAACTGTCTAAATCTTGAAGATTACCTCTGTATTAAAATCTCTAAGATACTTTGTGCAGCTGAAGCTTGTATCCTTGCTCTCCTCATCTTCAAAATGGCAACATTCTCTGTCCTTGGACAAAAGTAGTCTTGTTCACATCTATTCCAAGCACTCAAGAAACAGTTTTTCTTAGCCCATCACTCTAACTCTGTCATCCGTCTTAATGCATCTTCACTGATTCAGCTTTGGTTTAATGGAGTAAGAAAGGTGCCTTTACATCTGATTGATAGATTGTGTGGCAAAGGTAAATTACAACTCTTAACCAAGGACTTGTTTGTGCATTGTCAGACCAGGGAGAAATGCAGGTTCCAAAATCTTCCTTCTGGGAAACACTGTTTCTGAGACAGTCTCAGCTCCGATATTTCTGATTTCATTAATAGTAGTGTACTGTAGGAATAGTGTCTTTCATGTAATCAAATTCCAAATTATTTGGAGTGAAGGGAACTGAGTTTTTGAGTTGTTTTTGAGTTGTACAAGTTTATTTTACTTGTAATTCACAAACTACGTGGAAGTCGGCTAGCCTTGCTCGATGTTATTTCCAAGTTTAACATCACTTAATTAGCAGTTTGCAGCATTTTGTGCTAATGCCACGTTCTCTGGGGCTCAGAGATGTGCATGTACGATAATGATGTGGTCCACAGTGAAGTCAGTTGCGCTACTCCTGCTCTGTATAGGCTTTCTGAATGTAACCTTGGTTACAGCTGCTGTCAGCATCCAGGATTTCTTGCAGTGCTATACATCTTTCGGTGTCCTCATTTGTTAAAAACAGTCAGTTGAAAGCTTTTTACAGTTGATCAGCTTTTAGTTGTTGTCTTCAGAATGTATTATACAGGTTTTTTTAGTAGCAGAGTCTTGATCTCACGGTACTAAAGTGTAGGAAAAGCGAGTTAATTGTACTGGTCTAGCTGAAGAACAAAAAATTGTAGATAACAAGTGTTTCAGGAGTGATTGACAGCACAGGCATTCTGATTATCTTTGGCTTTCACTGACTTCTGTCCTTCCTCCCTCTCCCCATGAATTAGCAAACTAATGTAGGTAGAAATGGAATGTCAGAGCAGGATTCTGAGACTAGCTGTGTGATGCCATGAATTTCACATATCATTGAGGTGTTACTGCAGTGATGGAGTTAGGGACATGAAAAACTATACAGGTATCTATTTGTAAAGCTGGTGTTTAAAACCATTTAGAATGTGCTGATACATTGTCAAGATTTGTTGTTCAGTGCCCTAAACCAGAAATGGTTGTGTTTCTATGCAAGAATATGTAATAAGCTGCTTTAAGCAACAGTAAGAATGATAATTTAAGAATTGCCTATTGAATTCTTTGCCCTGTCCTTCTTTCTTAGGTGTGGTATTCTTGTTTGGCAAAGTTTGGATTGAATCTGCAAACACCTATGTCAGCTGTTGTGTGACAGTGAAAAATATTGAGAGAACTGTTTACCTCCTGCCACGTGAAACAGTAAGTGTCTCTTTTAAGCACGTCAAACATAAGTACCTTTCATTCTGCTTATGGCAGGTTGTGAGTTCTCACAGTGCATTTATGGGAACCGTTTGAGCCAGTGTTGTCTGATGTAGATGGAAAAGTTAAGTACAATGTATACACAGTATATCACGTGAGGTGCAGAGCAGAGCATTGCTGCTTCCCCCGATCTTAACTAACAACTGCAGACAAATTGTTACCTTTAAACTTGCTGCTTATGAAATAACATTGCCCTGAAGTATTATTATGAAACTTAGTGTTTTTAAAACAGTATGTTTCAAATATTTTTTTTTTTTTTAATTTGGGGTTTCTTGAATGGTTGCATTGTACTTTTCCCTTGAAGAAGAGATACATGATTGATAATACAAAGCAAAATTCAACTTATTGGTCATGTCTACTGGCATTTTTTGTTAATTTGTAAAACCTGACTTCTGTTTTTGAGGAAATTGACCTATCCACTGGCAAAGAGACGGAGACACCAGTAACTATAATGAGTGTTTTCAAGGAATTTAATGACTGCATTTCACCAAAGTATAAGATCATGAAGTTCAAATCCAAGGTTTGTCTACAAGCATCCTATATTGGTCACTTTCTGTTGTTCTGGTTTGTCAGGTGGGAAGTCTGTTGAAACACTGTCCAGTGGGGGAGGTTTATGCTGAAATACAAATCTATAACTCCTGACATGTGTAAGCATACCTGCTTGTAAAAGCCATCCCAGTGTCTTCACAAATACCTGTACTCCTTTAAGAACAGTAAATCTGCAACATGATTGTTCCACCAGAAGTTTAAACATACTGCTTCTGAAAATACTCATTCGTTAGCTTCTTTGAAACTGCGTTGAATGTCAGACTGTCATTCTTGCTTGCTGAGCTATTTTTGATAATACAGAACAGATAGAAGTTCTGATATCTAAAGCCTGGTTATCAGTTCATTATGTTAAAGTTTAAAATGAAAGATTGTGTTGTCCAGCAGATAGGTCAGTGCACTGGGATTAGACTGTCTTTGCATCTGACCAGGTGTCAGGTTGAACTTTATCTCTTGCCATGTTTCATCCTTCTTTTCACCCTTGCAGCTTTATCTTTTCAGAATGCCTGTTGTTCAGAGCGTGGATTATCACGGTGTGTTTATACAGGAGGTAGCAAGTTGTGAGGACTGCCATCCGGTCTTGAAACAAGCTGTTTTGGGCTTACAGTTATGGGCAGTAACCTTACAGTGTTACTTTGCTGTGTTGTATTTGCTCAACATGTCCTTAAAAGAACACTGGAAAAGCAAAATGCTGCTATAATGGAAAATTTGCACATGCAGTAATATAATAGTTGTCATAACTGCAGGAAAAGAGCTGATAACCGCTGACAGTGTTGCAGGTTTGGACTGAACTTGTTTGCTAGTGTAGGAAAGCTGCCTTGTTCATTGACATAGAGCATTTGTCTTTTGGCTGGGAGTGGGGTGGAGTGGGGAGTTTGAGGGGGTGGAAAGGTGGCCAACACGCAAGTTAAAGGAAGAAGATTTGTTAAGAGTGAAGTGCTCAGAAACTTTTAGGTTTCTTGAAGTAAGAAGACATTTGTCTGGCAAAGCTGGCTTTCCTTGTAACTACTGGATGGTGTGGAATTAGTTGCAACTTTTCCCAGGCTGGCAATCTTGTGACTTTGTAGGATTTGTTCCTGGATAGTTTCAGGAGGTGGGATGCCAAGTAAAAATGCAGGAAGAATGGAATTTAACAATATGTAAATAAGGGAAAATAAAAGAAGGTTCGTATGGTAATTCAGGTTGGAAAGGCCCTCAGGAGGTCATCTAATCCAAAGCTAGAGTACTTCAGAAAGCTTAATTTGTTAAAGTGAAAATGTGAGCAGTGTTTCTCAATGGCAAATTCATGCAAGAAATGACATATTTTCATCAACATGTAGCATTATTTACATCATTCAGGGAAAATGCATGCTTCATTAGAACTTTGTAGAAGGTGTTTTTTTTTTTGTTCTAGCTTATTTTCTCTGTCAAAACTGATGCAAATTTAGCTTTTTCAGTTTTATCAGTGTTATTTCTCTTGTATATTTGATTATAACTTAGTTGTTATCTATGGGAATCAGAAAGGAATGAATTTAACAGTAGGTATGAAATAAGTTTGTAATAGCTCGCTATTCAAAGATCCTTTCAGGAATGAGGGAGGAAACTCAGGGCAAATCAATTCCTCGTTAAAAGAGAGGATACAAACACTTGTATTCTAGAAATGGAAGGAGAGGGAAAGACCTTTGAAAAGATGCAGATCTGCTAACAGAATCTTAGGAAACCTCCACCTGTTCCATGGTGTGCTAAGGAAGAATAGTGTGAGTTAATGGAGTAATATAACTTAACCTTCAAAGGTGGCTTTTAAAAATCAAGGTAAACCATATGCAGGAAGTATTTGAACTGTTATTTCTGATGTTAGTTCAAAGCTTATCAAATATTTACTGAGTTTACACAGAGCTTGGGCTGAAACCCAACTGTGTTGTCTGGTCACATGACTACAGTGCATCTGGGGTCCTTGAGTGTAACACAGGAGTGATCCCTACCTGGAATAGTGGAATAGAAGCACTAAGGTACTGTTCAGGTCTTACCTCACGTATTATAACACTTGATCACCCTGATGAGGAAAGATTAACTCAACTGACAACAGGCACAAAAGATGGTAATTGGATGAGACAAAAGGAGAATTAGTTATGCCAGAGGTAACTGTGAAAGAGCTTTAATTTTACTTTTTTTTTTTTTTAGCCTGGTAAAGTGAAGAATAATGATACGACCTTTTTGCTCTCTGAAAACATTAAAAGGGTATGAGCAGCAAGAAAGCTATTTGAAGGGTAGTTGTAGCAAAAGAACAAATGTATAAATTTTAATTCATTAATAAATTAGGCAGGATAGTTGGGGGTGCAGAGAAGCTATGGAATAACCTACTAGAAGTGTTTCTAAACAGTAAGAATTCAAATTCTGTTTGAATTCATCAGACTCTTCAGTAAACTGAATTTTACTAACATGGTACAAGGCTATCCAGCTTTATTTTGCTGGCATAATTTTCTGGTGATATTGATAGTTACTGCCTCCCAGAAAGGTGTTTAATGAGAACTGGAGCGAGCAGGAAGGTATGACACTAGTAATGTGGGGGATAAGAGAAAAGATAGGATTGGAGAGCAGGACTGTTGATGGGGCCTTTGAATGACTATTCAAGGAAAGTATTACAGTAACTCAGCTATTCCAGCTTAACACAAAATTTACTGTGAACAAGTGGCACCGGATCTGGCCAGGCTTACACCTCTGCAGCAGGGAGTCCTTTTGCTGCCTGCAAGATAATTATGGAAGTAGTGGGATTGTCCCGTTATTCCACCCTCCTTTTCTTTTGCTGCTTCCTGAAAGAACTCTTTTTGCCAGGTTAGATATTATTAATCTGTTTTTTGTAAGGAGTCATCATCTTTCTTTTCATTGCAGTTCTACCACCAGAGATGTTGTGTTGTTAGACAGCGCTTGCATCTGAGTGTCCATAGGGGTATGCAGGGGTCTCAAATTGAAATGGTGTTGGCACTCAGCTGAGTGAACGCTCCAAAAAAGCTGTTGTGACTGTATGTGGTGAAGAGCTTAATATGCTTTAGAACTCCCCTGTTCTGTGATGTGCAGCCAGTATTCCACTGATGTGTTGATAAGGGTTGGTGTTCTGAAAGATTTTTAAAAGGCTGATGGCAGTATTGCTCAGGTGAGCAGAGCACTTCTGAGCAATGCATTCGGAGTAACACAGCGTCTTAGTTTTGGCATAGTACTGGGAAACTCTTACTCTTCTGTCAGTAGCTGGAAATCAGGGAGGTTACTAGCATAGCTGCCACGCACCCAAAGTTATTTTGTTCAGAATACCCAGTTTTGTGATGACGCAGAGAGAGACAGTATTTATACACTGAGACACGTTGTTCTCTGTGCACGTGTGTGTGGGTCTTGGCCTTGCCAGCACCAAACTTTGTCCTTGGGAACAGATACACTTAAGCCCTATCACTTCCTCCTGCACCTGCTGCTAATTGGAGCTTCAATGGGTTGCACTGCTGCCAAGTTAGCAAGTCTTCACAAATCAATTTGAAAGCAGCCTTACTCCACTTAGGAACTTAGCAGCTAATCACTGCTCCTCATTTCTGCTCTCTGAAGGGCCACTTGAAGGGCAGATTACTCTGCAGCAAAGCATTCATTCAGTGCAGTTACCACCAGACGCCTGTGTAATTGAGCTGAGCTCTGTGGAATAACGCAGATGAATCACTGCAGCGGACTATTTTTACACTGTGTTCAGCTTGCGTTTGCAACAAGAACTTGTTGGAAGCCCGAGAGAGGGTTTTTAAAAATAAATAAAATAAAAAAAAGGAGGGGACACACCAGTAATACATGTTAAAAGCAGTGAGTGCATTGCCATCTGCTATGTTACGGGTATGGTGTGCTGCTCATGTGGGCTGCTGCCTTGGCTCAACAGTTCAGATCTACATTTGCATGCTAATTTGCAATGCTGTTCTGACTTCACAGTGATGGTCTTGTGCCAAGTTATTTCACCCTTTCCTGCTTCCAGGTAGCTGTTGAGGCCATAGCTGTTTCTGGATTTGACTTCTTCCTATTTATAGCAGAGGGCCCTGTCTTCTTCTTCCCAGGCTTTGCAGCCTTAAAACTGCAGTGTTATGGAAGTAGTAAGCTTAACTACTCGTTGTAGTACTCTGAGGGAGCTATTGCCGGTGCTGTTAATTTAAGGGAAAAAAACCCAACCGAACAAAAACCACTCAACCCCCAAACCAAATAACTTTGAGTATACCTAATTGTGCATTTTTGTTTATTTGTAAATTTTATTCAAATTTATGACGACTTTGTTTTTTCTTATTAAACTTAGTCTAGTGGTATATTATGCTACTCTGTGTATAATGTGCTGAACTTAGTGGACTGTACAGTGAAAATATGCTTTTTAATTTAAAGGGCCCCTAGGAATTCTTGTAGTAAGAGTAATGTTCTAGCATAGTTAAGGCATAACATAATAGCAACAATATATAAACAGTGGGGCAGATGGTTGTGAAGTATTACAGGGCAGAGCATACATATTAATGGGATAGAGAATGGCATTTCAGCAAGTACCATAATGATGTGGCTCAGGATATTGTCATTATTACAAGGGCAGGTAGTGATAGAACAAGGGGTAATGGCTAGAAGCTGAATGAAGTTAGATTTAGATTAGATAATAGGAATAAATTATTTCCTGTGAGGGTGGTCAGACACTGGAACAGGTTGCCCAGAGAAGCTGTGGATGCCCCCTCCCTGGAAGTGTTCATGGCCAGGTTGGATGAGGCTTTGAGCAACCTGGTCTAGTGGAAGGTGTCCCTGCTGATGGCAGGGGAGTTGGAACTAGATGGTCTTTAAGGTCCCTTCCAACCCAAACCAGTCTATGATTATTTGGAAAGTGAAGGTAGTTGTTCTTAGAAACTGACAAGCTGTGCATGTTGAGAAAAATCATTATTCTTGAAGAAAGCAGAAGTGATACTTAACTTTCAGTAAAGTTGTGCTGAACTAGAGACTGCTTCAACCATCTTTGTTAGAGATATGTAAACAAATTTTGACTACTTTCTAGTAAAACTCAAGTTACTTGAAATTAAAAATACAGTACTGTCATAGAAATGATTCTGTTCTAAGAATGTAATAAACAGCTGGCAAATGGTTAGGAAGTCAGCTCTCCTGGGTGCTTCGGAAGTGCCAGTTCACTAAAGCATGCAGTAGAAAAGGAGGAACTGTGTGCACTTACAGGGCTACGATCTCATTGGGATCAGGGACATGTGGTGGGTTAGGACGTGGTTAAGAAGAACAACTGGGATGGTGGGGAGGGAGAGTCCCTTTTACATGACAGAGCGATCAGAATGCATGGAGCCCTGCCTAGAGAGGGGCAAAGAGCCAGTCAAGAGCTTATGGGTCAGGATTAGAGGGCACACTAATGGAAGTGACATCGTGGTGGAAAAAAGGAAAGCCAAAGCAAATCTTATCAATGAGTCTGGTGAGGGGGGCAAAGAGCAGTAGGAAAGGCTTCCATAGGTACAGGAGGACTAGGGGAAAATGTGGGCCTGCTGCTGAAAGGGACAGAGGATGTGGTGAGAAAGGGCATGGAAAAGGCTGAGATACTCCATATCTTCTTCACCTTGGTCTTTACTGCTAAGTCCAGCCTTCAGCAATCCCTGACCCCAGGAGACCAGAAGGAAAGCCTGAAGAAAACATGACTTGTCCTTAATGGAGGAGGATCAGGTTAGGGAACATTTAAACAAACTGGACAGACACAGGTGCATGGGACCTAATGGGTTGCACCTATGAGTGTGGAGGGAGCTCGCCAATGTCATTGCAAGGCCACACTTGATTATCTTTAAAAGGTCATGTTGATCAGAAGAGGTTCCCAAGGACTGGAAGAAAACAGATGTTAAAGCTATCTTCAAGGAGGAAAAGATTCCAGGAAACTAGAGGCTGGCCAGCCTCACCTCAAGCCCTGGGAAAAGATGATGGAGCAACTAAATGTGGAAACAACTGTTTTCCAGACACACAAAGCATAAGAAGTGTGCTTTGGGAGTGTTTGGTGTGGAATTACAAAGGGGAAATCATGCTCAACCAAGCTGGTAGCCTTCTGTGAAGGGCTGACTGGCTTGGTGGAGCAGTGGCAGTTGTTTATGTGGACTTCAGTAAGGCTTTCTCTCTCCCGTAGCATCCTCAAAGACAATCTGATCAAGCATGGACTAGGTGAGTGGACAGCGAGATCGACTGAAAACCGTCTGCACTGCTGTGCTCCAAGGGCTGTGATCAGCAGCACGCAGTCCAGCTGGAGGCCCGTCCCTCGTGTTGTACCCCAGGGGTCGATACTGGTCCAGTCCTGTTTAGTGTCTGTGTTAATGGCTTGGACGATGGCGCAGAGCACAAACGCAGCAAGTCTGCAGACAGTACAAAACCAGGAGCAGTGGCTGATATATCAGATGAGTGTGCTGCCGTTCAAAGGAACCTCAACAGGCTGGAGCTGTCTCATGGCCTACAGGAATCCCATCAAGTTCAACAAAGGGAAATAGCAAATTCCGCACCAGAGCTGGAGTAACCTCAGGCACCCGTAGATGCTGGTGGCTGACTAGCTGGAAAGCAGCTTTGTCAGGAAGGACTGGTCATCCTTGTAGACACGAAGTTAGACAAGAGCCAGCAAAGTACCCTTGCAGCAAAGTTGGCCATGAACACCCTGGGCTGCACAAGGCAGGACATTGCCAGCAGGTTCAAGGGGGGTGGTCCTTCCCCCTTTTCGCAGCTCTGGTGAGACAAACGTGGAGCGCTGCGTTCAGCTGAGCTCCCCATTGCAGGAATGGTGTGCACATACTGGAGTAAGTCCAGCACAGGACCACAAAGGCAATTATGGGGCCTGGAGCATCTGTTGTGTGAGAAGAGGCTGACAGAGCTGGGACTGCTCAGCCTGGAGAAGAGAAGGTTCGGGGTGAGGGATTGGTGGTGCAGATCTTATCAATGTATGTAAATATCTGATGGGCAGGAGTAAAGATGACTCTGGCAGACTCTTCTCATACCAACCCATTGGAGGACAAGAGCAATAGGTACCATTTGAAACACATGGAATTTATCAGAAGATAAACCTCTTCTTTACTGTAAGAGGGGTCAGGCACTGGCACAGAGTGCCCAGAGAGGCTGTGAAGTCTCTGTCCTTGGGGATGTTCAAACCCTCACTGGAGAGGGCCCTGAGCAATTTCTCTAGGTGACCCAGCTCTGAGCAGGCAGCTGGACTAGACAGTCTCTAAGAGATGCCTTTCCTTCTCAGCCATTCTGTGATGTTGTGGTGATCTTCAGCCACCAATTCTCATGAGTGTGTCTGAAGCCTGTGAATTTACAGAACGTTTCTGAGTTTCCTTAGCTATTAAGCTTGTATGGTTTTTTGTTTTGTAGTGGTTAGTGTATTTGTAAGTCAATTCTGTAGAAACTCTTCATGCTAAGAAAAACTTAAAGAGATTAAATACAGGTGCTAAAACATTCTTACTATCTTTAGATGGTTATAACGTGTTGCAAAATTGGTAATATATGATCAGGTTCATGATAATCGAGATGTATGTTTTGGCTGGCCTTTATTTCATTAGCTTTCTTATTGGACAGAGTGAATATTCATTTGGGAGATACTGAAAAAAAATGTATTTGTTTTATATAGAAAGTGGAAAAATATTATGCTTTTGAGATGCCGGATATTCCAGCAAAATCTGAATACTTAGAAGTTAAATATTCGGTGAGTATAATTAATCTGATGAAAGATGATAACCTGCTTTGTTACCTAATTAAGAATTTTACGTTTTACTTTTAAAACAAAAAAGGTTTTATCTTTAGTAGCTAGTGAGCTAGTGGCTGTACCTCTGTTACAGTGTGTAGTTAGTTGCTCATTGTCTTGTAATTTTTTTTTAGAAAAGGTTAATACGTAAGCTTGTGACTTTTTTGTTATTTTTATGTTGCTTAGTACTTAATTAAAACAGTTCATTACCAGGTAACCTATAACGTGTTGATTTGTTAGTGTTAGCTCTATTGGTGTAAATAAAGCTTGAGGGAGGGAAAAATACTTCCTGTAACTACTGCATTCCTCCCACCTTCTCCACCAGTTATAATTTGCTTATTGGTTTACAGCAGTCTGTATTCCCAGTTTTAGTTTAAATATCTGCTTTATTTTTTTTTATCACCTTGCCACTTAATCAGCTAATTGGCCAAACAACCCTTTAGCTGCACTGGATCAGGGCCCGAAGTACTGTAACATGTTTTAAATTACTTGGTACTCTTAAATGTTTTGTTGAATCCATGTCCAGAATATAGCTGATAATCTCTGCTTGTAAGGGTCTTGCAAATAGCAGCTGGGTGAGAAAGACTTGTTGAAGAGCTGTAAAATTGAGCAGCAAAGAGGGAAAAAAAAGCCCCATGAGAACATTAGTAGCTGTTCTTAATTAGGAAAAATACTTGATTTGGTTTTAAATGTAGGAGACTTGGTAGTCTTGAACCTATTTGGTCAGTTGCTGAAATAATGCCTTGAAAACATTTTTTTATACTAGTTCTAGGTGCAAACGCAGCATCCTGTAGAGATTTGCTAGCTAGCTCAGACTGTTCTTTGCTAGCTCTGGCTGTGCAGAAACACTTTCTCCAGTCTTTATAGGACAGACAACATGAAAACTGTAACTGTCTAATTAAGTTTACAACACGAGCAGCTTCTGTATTAAAATGGTCATTGCACGTTGTTGTAGTCTTGGCTGATGATAATATCTCTGTCTTGCATCCAGTATGGATGAAGAAGTTTTGCTTCAGTGCATTTTTAGGTTACTGTCCTGATTTCGTTACGCACCTATTTAAGTCGAGTCAATAGTGTAAGGTATTCAGTTACTGTGAGGTATTATGGGATAAGGCTTTGCTTGTGGGAAATTACAGTGATTTCAGGTATTGTGTAGTTTTATTAGGGTGCTTTCTGAATATAGTGTGTCAACCTTGAAGACTTCTTGGGGGAGTGAAATGACAGTGCTTTCTCTTACTTATTAGGCTGAATGTCCTCGACTTCCCCAAGACCTGAAAGGACAAACATTTTCACATGTGTTTGGAACGAACACCTCTAGCCTGGAACTTCTCTTGCTGAATAGGAAGATCAAAGGACCGTGCTGGCTGGAAATAAAAAATCCACGTATGGTGGTTTGCATGCGAAATACTTGATTTCTGGAAAACATTATAGATTTAGGGAAGGAGGGGAAATTTACAAAAGGATAATTTATCAGTACAATTTAAATCCACTTTGCAATTTATCTGTGTAATTTTCATTATCTAGTACAAATTGTAACTTATTCTTCTGAGGGAGAATTATATCCATGTAAAGTTGCACACTTTAGAGATGATATTATAACTGATTGAATGTCAGTGAGAGTGAACTGCAGTACCTAGCAGCTACTCTTTGGTGCATAACCTAAAGCCACATATACTGAGCTAAAGTTAGTGTGATAGTTTAACTTAGCAGGCAGCCAAACAAGACACAACCACTTGCAGCCTCCCCTCACCCCTATCCTCTTCCCCCCGACCCAGGGAATCAGGGAGAGAATTGGAGGGGTAAAGTTTGGGAGACTTGTAGGTTGAGATAAGAACAATTTAATAATTAGAGTAAAAATAAAATTAAAATAATAAGAATAATAAGATAAATAATGATAACAACTGTGCAAGTGGCTGTGTCTTGTTTGGCTGCCAGCTAAGAAGAAAATTAGCCCAATCCTAGCAAAAACCAGGACAGTTAGTTTCCTATAAATTTATTCCTTTCTTCTTTTGATAACCTAAGATACTTTTTTTTTTTTTTTTCTGCAAATGTATCTTTTTAAGAACAAACCACTGCTAGATGGCTTTTTTGTTTGCGTGTTGTTTTTTTTCTGGCACTTAGAAAAGTTTATGGTGCGGAGTATTTTAGTTTGAAATCCTTTCGGCCTCATGAGTGGCACGCACCACGTACAGGTGGTTACGCTGCCGTATTTTGGCTTGGTTAGAGCCCTTTATTCAATGTGTGCTGTGTATTCCAGAGAGAGCCAGGAACTTGATCAAGCTGAACAAAAGCAACGTCTGTTAGTGCAGCTTCCTTGGGGCACATCGAGTATAGAATTGATAGTGTTGGCCGCTGACAGCAGGAGGATTCTCCTCTTCAGCACCTCGCTCAGTCACTGACAAAGCTGGTACCAATAAGGATTTTGAGCTCAAATAGGCAAGACAAGTCCCTAACTGCCAAAAGATGGATTAGCTCTGATGGTTTTCCAACAGACATTGGCAAGCATCAGTGTACTTCCTGGCACTGATTTTAAAAACCTAAGAGTGGTTTTTCCTCTGCACTTTTTGCTGAAGAATTGACCTGTTTCTTTGGCATTTTCCCTCTTTGCCTGGGAAGAGTCCAGAGCTCTTCTGTTCCTCATATCCAGTATGACAAATGTTATAGCAGTGATAACTAACACTTCAGGCAGTATTCAATTTTTGTTAATGCTGATGTGCATATCTCCCCTTAAACTGCCGTGCCTGAGCTCAGATTCTGGCCTAGTGTTAAATGGTAAACTAAGGGAGCTCTGTTTTTTCCAATTCCCTTATCTCCTTTACTGCCTTCAGGTTCCAGAGAGAGAAAGAGTATCTTGATATCAGAATTACTCATTTCAAAACTATGACATGCCCACTTTGTTGAAAAGTGTCTATTAAGCTGGCTAGTTATATTTGTGTAAATTTCTGTAGTCATTGCACTGGATTTTGTGCCTCAAAGCTGTTTGTTTTCTTTTGGGGGCTGTGTGTGTATCTAGTTTATCAGAAGGCTCTTGCTTTCTTATGTAGCTTCCCTTCCACACTTCTCATAGCAGGTCTTAGGGATAAGAAGCATACCTGGAAGGTTTAGAATAAGTTGGTCTCAAACCATTTGATCAGACTCCTACAAGTTCTCCAAAAACTGTCATCACTGTTCATAATGAAGCTGTCTTTTCAGTTTGAGTGTCAGTGCTAGATAGCACCAGCACTTTTCCAAAGAAGCAGTCTCCAAACTTGTTAGATTGTGCACTCTGTCAATAAAAAAATTGAGCATGTACCTCAAATATATACTTTTCTTATAAATTATATACATGTACTACTGTACTAATGTATTATGTATGTTATAAAATAAACATAAAACCAGAAATTTAAAAAAGATGAGGTATGTGAAATAAATACTTTTAAAAGTATTTATTGTATTTATTAGTGGTACAAAAAATATTTTCTTTCCACACCCCAATGGATTGTCTTATACACCCCCCTGGGGTTCATGCACGCTGCTTTTAAGACCACTGCTCTATAAAGTGCTAGTTGAAGCTCTGGTTGTTAAGATACTGGAGATCAAAGGAAAAAGATGTTAAGCAATTGATCACCTGTCTTCCTTTGGAGGGATCATCAGTATTTCATAAATGAAAATATTTTAGCCAGTTACCTGTTTGCATGTAGAACAAGGAAAAACAGGGAAGGTAAAATATACGTGTTTCCAGAGACGGGTCAAATAATTTTGCAGGGAGTAAGGTAAACAACTCCTACCAACAGCTGCCTTCAAAAGGTTAATCCCTCAGAAATGTAACCTCTGCTTCCTTCGAACTGCCTGTAGTGAGTTAGTTATCTCAGCAGCATCTTTTGTGAATAATCACTTTTTTCTTTAAGCAAGTGAAGAATTATAGACCAAAATACTCAAATGATAATCAATGGTGAACATAGTCTTCC